CAGTTAATAAACTGGATTGATCTAATCCAGTGTGTTTAAATTGAAGTGTCTGTGAAACTATTTGGGTAACAAGGTGTGTGCATATTATTTCTATTGAAGAAATGGAGACTTGATATGAATTTATATGGTCCGGGATAGGGCTGGGCAATACGAGACGTACGTTTCTGGAGGGGAAAAAAACAAAACGAATGCTAGGAGTTTGTTGGGGTCACCCTGCAGTATAACTGAGGCTGGTGAGAGCCAAGATGTGGCTGGCTGGGACGTAGCTGGGAGTGACTTGCACATTGGAGGTTATTTGTCAACAGTCCAGACTGGAGGCTAAAGCAGCAAAGCATTGTAACAGGCACCCCATGTTAGAGGGCAGGGGTGACAGATTCTCCTTAGTCTGGATGATACATTGAGTATACCACGCCTAGTAATGGTACAAACCTGTTACTAAATGGAGAGGATTAAACAATTACGATGCAGGAAAGGCAGACGTTTTCAGTAACTATTTCCCTTTTGATATTGGAGAGAAGCACGACAACATAGTCTCATCACAAGAGTATGAAGAAGTACTTTCATGTCTATTAGTAATTAAGGAGGAAGTTCAACTACATCTGCTAGGGATAAACATTGTTAAATCAACTCTTGGGATAACTTGCACCCAAGCGTCCTAAAAAAGTTGGCCAAGGAGATCTCTAGCCCACTGATTAACTTCTAATTAATCTTAGAGTACCAAGAAATTCTTCCATTCTTCTTGAGCGCCGATCTCGTGCCAGTATTCAAAAGGGCAAGCAGAATGACCTAGGAAACTATATACTAGTTAACATGATCTCACTCACAAGCATAATAATTTAAAGGTATTGTGGGATTCATTAATTCCAAGGGCAAATCTGTTCTGATCTCTTGTGCAGTGTAGGCCAAATTTTTCGCAATTCATAAGAAATTAAGAACAGAAATATCATTAATACCAATCAATGAGGTTAAGCACATTTGTATTTGCCGGACCAGGTTCTAAGTGTCTCATCCTTTTTTGAATCCTACCATGTTCTTTGCCTCCATTTTCTGGCAGTATGTTCCATAAGCTCGTTATGTAAATATTTGTTGTTAGTTTTCTTGATACATGAATCCTGATTTTAGACAGCTAAAAACTGCACGTTCCTCAGTCAAGCTCAGTGGAAGAGCTGTTCTTTACAATGACCTTTATTTCCCCCTCCTAGGAACTTTATGGCGGTGAGATGAACTCACAGAGGCCTGAGCCTTCACTGCCAAGGAGCCCTCCCAGAGAGTTCTGAAAAATATGGTTTCCAAACAATCCTACTTGTAAGGCTCTCTCTCTCTCCCTCCCCTTTAGCACCGAGTAGTAGGGTACTGGCATAAAAGCAAAACCTTAGTTAAAATCAACTGTTTGTGACATGAGAATTAACTGCAACCTTGGAACACTGAAGGGAGACAAAAAATACAGGATGGATTAGAGGCAAAAATCGTTTCCAGAAATGATTTATGAATTATCAGTCATTCTTTACTTTTCCAACAGTAACAAGTTTTCATGACACATATTTAGGGGGACTAAGCACTAACTGAATTTCCTCAGGTTTATGGGTTTACTTAGCAATCAAAATATAGTTTTTCCTGGGAGGAGATAGGAGAACAAGAAGGGGATATAAACAGACGCTACTAACCTTTGCATTCAGGGGCAGGCCCACTCCACTCTCCGTTGACATGATCTTTCGTTGTACAATGAATGCAGGCCTCTCCAATAAGAGAGAAGCCCTGGCCACATTTGTAAGTGACCACTGAGCCAAAGGAAAACTCTTGTTCACTCTGACCAGTACGGGAACCATGGGTGATATCGGGAGGTGGAAGACAAGGTATTGCTGAAGCAAAGAAGGTCAGCATGAAAATTAAAGTTTACATTGAAGATGAACTGAAGAGAGAGTTTCACTAAGAAAGTTGTCTCAGATCCCCCCAGAAAGCTATGTAGCCATTTGGAAGGGTACTTAACATTGCATTGTAACATTTGAAGCAAGACCCCTTTCAGATTCTGAAGGTTTTTCTGCTTTTAGGCTTGACCCAACCCAGTACGTCCATTGCTCAAGGAGGATGCTCCATAAAACACCAGCTCTGGAAGATGACCTTAACAGAACGTGCCCCTTCCCAACATTGGCCTCAGGGAGCCAGAACCTCTTGCCCAGCATCTCTAGAGGTAGTGTTGTTCCACCAGCAGAAAACTAAGCTAGGACACTGCTTGTAGCTGCAGCTGATTCTAGCCTGGACATCAGCAGTATGATTGACCGACCAAGCCCAGAAAGCATCCAAGAGATTGAATTAAGGTAGAGGCAAATTAATTGTTATTCACTCCAAAAGAGCCTCAGATTTTAAGTGGACAGTCAGATTTGGGAAGGGTCAAAACATCTTGAAGTCATTATCATGCCTTTTTACTTAGT